ATACATCTTTTGTAAAGCATACATATTTTTGGTGTATGACAATATAATTTTTTGTGTATGACATGTTATTGACACATCTTTTGTAAAGCATACATCTTTTGTAAAGCTTTAACCCACTTTTTGTAAAGCTTTAACCCACTTTTTGTAAAGCTTTAACCCACTTTTTGTAAAGCTTTAACCCACTTTTTGTAAAGCTTTAACCCACTTTTTGTAAAGCTTTAACCCACTTTTTGTAAAGCTTTAACCCACTTTTTGTAAAGCTTTAACCCACTTTTTGTAAAGCTTTAACCCACTTTTTGTAAAGCTTTAACCCACTTTTTGTAAAGTTTTAACCTACTCTTTTGGTGTATGACAGTATAACTTTATTTCTATTTTTTGTTCAGTGTTTACACTTTTTTTTACTGCCTTTTATATTTTGATATGCAATATAACTTTAAATCTTAAATGTTTGTTTCTTAATTTGCATTAAGATTAGGGAGAGTTGTCATTTTATTTGAGTTTTGTAGAGCGTGTAATACAAGCAAAATTGTTGTAAGTTCTTTAAGAAGAAAAATATTTCAATATATTTTTTCAGTATCTTTATCAAAAAATGACATAAACTTTATAAATTTCAGCATAATACGTATAAATTATAACTGCATTTTAATTTTAAAATTATTTACACCGTGCCTTTAGGCACGGGCATACGCTAGTATATATATATTACGGGAGTACATTCAGAGGGGGCGTGGGTTTGGGGTGGCACCTCCATTTATTTTTCTAGTCTTAATAACTCACACACCACAGCCACATGTTGCTAAAGAAGTCTAAACCCATTCAATACCTCCAAAGGGCCGCACCAAAAAGTCAAAGCATCTCTCAACAGTAAGTAATGTATATGAAAATTTAGATAACCTGACCTTTCACCTGCACATACAATTAAAACTACAGACATTCTAAGTTCCAAGTTAAACCTCTCAATGTACTAGAAACAAGCTAACTATCCCAATTAGTTACAATAACCCACATGGTCGTGTGAACCGGTAATAGACAAGAAAACTCACTTTAAAGAATTAGTCATGATGATATTATTTGAATTCATCGATCCTACTTATATATTCAAGATCACCTATTCAAACTTCCAATATGAAATGGGACTGTTCCACTTACTCTAATTAGAAAGCCTAGAGGGCATAGGCCCTAGAACCTTGGGCTGAGATTGAAGCTTATGGATGCTCTCTAGGACAAGATTATGAGCAAAATCTTTTGATCAAAATTTTGACCAATTCAAATTCATTTGACTTATTTGAATTCAAATTTTTGCCAAAATATTGGTTTACTTTAACACAGATGCTTTCTTTGGCATGCCTTTTTCTTGTTCTACAAAATAAGCAAAAAAAAATAAATAGTAGTGTGTTCATACCAAATAAACAAACAAATAAATAACTAGTGGATGGAATATAACAACCAAATAAATACAAATAAATAAATAATAATGAATCAAACATTGAAACTTCTAGTCTTCACTCTCAAAACAAGATCATAATATGCCCCAATATGGCTGGGAGTACACACCCTTCTTCCAAGGAGTTGAAAAAGGATCTATGCGCGGGTCAAAATGTCCTCAAAAATGAAAAAGAATTTTCTTGTTTGCTAACCATCGTAGACAAATATCTCAAAATCACCAATCAAAAACCTTCCTCTTACACTAATGTCTGACACTTCCATTACACCCATAGTTCTGCAGCAAGTGTAAAAGCCTGGCATACATTTTGAAGGAAGACAACTAACTAAACTTTTCATTATACTTAAAATCCTGAAATAGAGTCTAGCCCTATGAAATCAATCGTGATTGCATAGGAAGTAGTCCCATGTCCTCATCCAATACGCTGATAAATCAATGACATTCTGGTGACAAGGATCATTGTTGTGGTGTTGGCTGCCATTGCTTTTTAGGCTGACATAAGAACATGAATTCCAAGTTCCTTTACCCAAAAAGCTTCTCCTGCATCCATTGAGACATCCACTTCATCATCATCTTCCATTAACTGATTCAAAATCATTCCTATGACTACTGGAATATACATCCACTGCAGTCCTTTGCTCTTCCCAACTACATCGGCACCACTCATACACTTCAAAAAGGCCAGATGTTCACATCTTCAGTTCACATGACCTGCACATAGAAAACACAAACATTCAGATTAGCAATGAAGGAACAGTAAAAGACATTGAGGATTCCCTACTCTTCTTGCTAACCAGCTGGGAATCTCACCTTGCGAAGAAATATGCTTAAATATCACATTGATACAGTTCCTCTGCAATGGAATTAACAACTTTAACTTCTAACTGAACACATACAACATAATGAGAGAGAGAGAGAGCACTTACTGGAGCTTTCTTTCTGTACATGTTACTTCACTGAACAGTTCCAATGCAATTATTGCCATGGATTCCAACTCAGCCAAAGTGAAATTTTGATAATTTCAGTGCATGTCTGCAATTAAGTTGAAAAATAGCTCAACCACTTGGCTGCAATAATGTTTCACTTCCATATATAGACCATGTTAGGCATGGATTCCAACTCAACCCTTTAGATTCAAATCTTGCAACAAGGATAGAATACCAAGAGCCCCGAGATAGCATGACAACATTATTTGCAATTCACATAATGCATGCTTCCCAACCAGTATGATGAAGAAGGCCAATAAAGTTCATACCACGGTCTAAACTATCCAATGATCGAGTGAGTAATCAATTTGCTCCATCTGCATGAAGCACTTTCAAAGATTCCATCTTGCCTAGGTCAGGGGGCAACCCATTCGGCATTAAGCATCCACTAAGAATCAGTTCAAGGGATTTGACCAGAAAAACTTTCTTTGGAAGCTTCCTTAGATTTTTACAGCCTTCAAGATTCAACAAAACAAGGGTCCCTAATTCCCCAATTGATTCATGAATCCCAACCAAATTTATGCAATATTTAAGGATCAGTCTCTCAAGATTAGGAAGCGGTGAGAAGTCAGGGAAATTGGTAAGGCTATAGGAATAACTGAGATCAAGGATTTTTAATGATCTGAGCAACTGTCACAAAAAAGTAAGAAATCAGTCACTACAAGAATTCATATGGATCCCAAAAATAAATAAATAAATAAATAAATAAATAATAATAATAACAACAACAACAACAACAACAACAACAACAACAACAACAACAACAACAACAACAACAACAACAATAATAATAATAATAATAATAAAATCAACAAAAACAGGATTAAAAAAAATTGAATCATACCTTGGTTCTCTTCCAGAGTTGTTCCAAGCTACTATTTTGCATCTCAAGGACAACCAGGCTATCCAAAGTAAAATCATTTGGTATAAATTTTAAAGAGAATCCATGCCAACACAACCATCTTAACTTCATAGGAAATTTTTGATATCCGCCACTGAGTCTTACATTATTAAGCTGAAGTAGTCTTAAATTGTGCATCTATGAAAATGCATCAGTTTTCAAATCATCTTCATCTGATTCTGAAAATGATTCTGTAAAGGCAGGAATAACACGGAGAAAAGAGAATAAGCCTCAGCGACGTCACTTCAATGAATTGCCTTCGTTAAACATTGTATGTACTGCAAGAAAATCTTCATTTTGGGATTGTGCACCGCTTGCATTCTTGGTTGGCATATCTTCTAAGTTGAGGCTAAGGCCTTCAATTGTTGTTCCCTAATAAAGTTGAGTTGGAAAAATAGTCACTACAATGGAGAGAGAGAGAGAGAGAGAGAGAGAGGGAAGCATGATTCTTATAGTTTTATCCCTCAACACATTGAAGGCATCCTTGAAACACCACACTCTGCTGCGCTTTCCAGGTTCCTTTTGTGATTCCTGGCGAACAATTTCTCTACCCATGTCTCTAAATAATTGGTGCATTATTAGCTTGTTATCTTTATTAACTTCTATGAGACCTCTACGAGTGAGATTTTGAATACCAATTGTTATGGGGAAATCACATTCCTCTAGTATTTTAACTGTGTAATCTTTGTCCTTTCCAACAAAGAAACAAGCAATATCAAGGAATATATTTTTCTCATGATCATCTAAAGAATCATAACTTATTTTAAGCACATTATGAATTTTCTAATTTTGCTAATGCACTTTCCCATACACCAATACTTTCGCCAGACAGATAAGAGCCCAAGACTTCCAGAGCTAGTGGAAGGCCACCATAGCGGTGTATTACCCTTTTTGAGTGCCCCATGTAAGCTTCAATAGGTTTGTCTTGTCCAAAGGCATGCCGGCTGAAGAGACAAAGTGCTTCATCGTCATTCAATTCCTTAACCACATATGACTCGTACACTTCATCAGCCTTTAGTAATTGCACATGTCTAGTAGGTATCATAATCTTACTTCCTGGAAGAAGCCAATCTTGCATCCCCAATAACGCATTTACTTGGTCCAAATCATCAACATCATCAAGAACAACTAGAACTCTTTTACAGCACATAGCATCTTTAATCTTATTGATTCCTTCAGCAACACAGTTTATTCTTTCCTTATTCCACTTCAGAATATCTGAAACAAGTTGTCTTTGCACACGAACCAAACCATTAGGTTGTTTTGCAGTTTCTCTAATATTTGCAAGAAAATTGCTACCTTCAAATTTGTCGAAGTTTTGGTTATAAACAATTTTTGCAATGGTGGTCTTCCCTATTCCACCCATCCCACAGATCACCATTATGCTGACATTGTTCAACCCACCTTGGAACCACAGATTAATGTCTTTTACATGAGAATCTATTCTAGTTTGATAGGGGGTAACACTTAAGACCGTGAAATCCAATTTACTCACAATCTCCTGAACAATTATTTGGATAAACTTTGACTCATGCCTGCACATTGCGTTCAAAATAGAAAATAACCGAATTAAGCATGTCATGAACTAAGATGAGATGATAATTTTTGAGATTATTATAATTAAGAGAGTAAATTATACGTCATAAAAGGTGGGGGGGAAGGTTGTCTGCCTACTACCTCTCCCAAAACCTACAGTAAGTGGGAGCCTTGTGCACTGGGAACAAACCTTTCTTTTCTTTTTAAAAGGTCTCCATGATTAATTTAACCCTATAACTGCACCAAAAAGATCTTCGAGGAATTTTAGCATTTGGATTGGCAAAATGTTAGTGGTAAATTGCTATAAGATTTTAGGGATTTGTAATGGTCGTAAGACAGGCTTCAAGATATGGAAGGTTGGTTACAAAGGGGAAACGAAGATTTTAGACTATTTTGTGTGCAGTGAACAAGATCCAAGAATCATAATTCTACAAATTTTGACTTCTTTTAAGTGACATGATTAAACAACAAAAACAAGAAAACAAAAAACTCTAGAAATCAACTGAACAATCTCGTAGGCATTCCACAACACAATCTTCCGTGAACATAACCACTGAAGAAATTCATGCAAAACTAATTCTCTACCAAATCATATGAAGTTCATATCTTTATATAAACTTTAGAACAACTCTATACTCTAACTAGAGTAATAACTCCGAATTTAAAAACCACAGACTCTAACTTCTAAAACTGATCTAGAATTTAACTTGAAAAGATATGCCCTCTGGTCTTTTGTGTACTTAGGTTGTTCTAAATCAACAAATTCCATCATCATGTGAAACTTTTAAAAGAAAAAATGAAGGAAAAAAATTGTTTAGCACCCAAAGCAAGATCCCAATGCCTATTCATCTCATACCATTTAAACTCTTCATGCAATGTTGCAGTTATAAAAACCTCAAGGGGTTGGCGTAGTGGTCAAGGCTTAGGGACTGGGGGTGTGCTCCCTCCAAGTTCTCAGTCGAAACCTCCTAGGTGCAAACAATCCATACAGGGCAAAGCCCTGGTTTTAATCGGAACCCCCGCAAGCGGACGGTGGGATTGGTCCTCAGTCCAATGGGAGGGATACCGAGTTATCAACAACAACAACAACAAAAAAATTATTGCAATTAATATACAGATAGAGTGGTATTCCCCATCTGATTATGCATATGACACACCCAAATTCAGCTTCATATTGTTACATTTCTACATAACTTCTTAGAACATTTGAAACAAGCATTACAAGTTTGATCATACCAAAGCAAGAAATTAAAGGAGAAAAATTACCTGTCAGCTTGATTTTGCAAGACCATACCTCCCAAATCAGCGACTTCTCCAAGTGCTTTCCTCCACAATCCCATCTTCTCCATCCCTTGTTTCCTCTTTCTTTCATCAATTTCCACTTTGAATTTTGCCTCATGCCTCTCAAATGCTTCAGCAAGAGTCCCACTTTGCTTCCGAACATTCGACGGATCAACATCATAAAAAACAGGTAAAATTACATGCCCAACGGTCCTCCTTTGTTCAACAATCATGACAAGTTCATCGAGGCACCAGCCGGAAGAAACGTAGTCTTTGGACAACACAATGACCGAACTCCTCGATTGTTTGATCGCTCTTTCGAGCTCTGATTTGATGTTTTCGCCTCTCTCGATCTCATCATCGTCTCGAAAAGTGCGCAAACCAGCGCCGACTAAGGCAGTGTAGAGGTGATCGGTGAAGTTCTTGCGAGTGTCTTCGTCTCTGAAACTGATGAAAACGTGGAAAGCGTATCGGGAGATTGAAGAGGCGGGTTTGGAAGCCATTGAAGAGAGATTTGGGAGATTAATGGAGGTGAATTATGGATTCCCAAACAACTCTGCTGGAGACCCCCAGTGGGGGTGACCCCCAGTGCCACGTATGGCCTGGGGGTGGCTGAAAACTTTAAAAAAAAAAAAAAAAAAAAACAGTTTTTTGGGCCAATCACAGAGGACCCCAGCACCCCACTGGGGGTCTCAAGCTTTATTCATTTCCAAATTGGAGTCTTTTGAGTTTGAGTGTAAAGCTTCGTAGAAAGGGGGCTTGACGCGTCGCAATGGGAGAGCGTTATAGAGCAGCAATCACTAATAATTTGTTGTTTATAATTTTATAAAAGAATAATGTTTGAGAGCTTGAATTTGGCTTCCCCTAATCCCCCTAATCCCCAAAACGACGTCGTTTTGGGGAATTTTTCTTTTTTCTTTTTTCTTTTTTCTTCCATTTTCGGCTCAAATGCAGGGGGAAGAGAGAAGAGAGAAAGAGAGAGAGAGAGAAGCAGAGGGAGGGAGGGAGAGAGAGCCGCCGATCGTCGCCCCACCAGCCGCCGATCGTCGCCCCGCCCAGTCCCGCCGTCGCAGCCCCACCTCTGGCCGATCGCCCAGCCGTCGCCCAGCCCGTCGCCGCCGATCTCCCAGCCCGTCGCCCAGCTCCGATCGTCGCAGCAGCCTCCTCCTCCTCCCCTCCAGTCCCCTCCTTCCTCCCCCTCCCCCTCCAGCTTCTTCTTCCTTCTGCTGAAAAAAAAAAAAACGAAAAAAATGATATTCGGGGGATTCGAGCTACGTAGCTTTCGAGCTATGTAGCATGACTGTTTATAAAAATTGGAGGTAAATTAATATTTTTAAATTATGGAATGGTAATTTCACTCATAATTCGTTGTCTGTAGTTTTATAAAAATTGGAGGTAAATTAATATTTTTAAATTATGGAATGGTAATTTCACTAATAATTCGTTGTCTGTAGTTTTATAAAAATTGGTGGTAAATTAATATTTTTAAATTATGAAATTAATTCGAACTAAACTATTTAAATACGGTTTGATTTGATTTGAAACTATGATTTTATATAATTTGTTCACAAAGAAAAATAATATAATATTTTTATTTTAACATTAATTTGCTCATATTTTTTGAAATATAAATATGTATATTACTTTACTATTAATTTAAACAAACATAATATATATGTAAAACCCAAGTTATTTATAGAATTATTTTGGATAGATTAATAATTAAAATAAATTGTATGGGTAATTTAGTAATCTTAAGAATTAGGTTTCAACCCTTTTAAAAATTAAAAAAAAAAAAGGAAAAAAGGGTTTTATATTTTTTTGTTATGAATTGCGCAGAGGGTTCGCTGGAAGTGGCGGTGGGGAATTGTGGGGAGCATTCTTGATGCTCATTGATCAAGGTACTTTTTGTTTACACCATTGTTTATTATATGCAATAGATCAATAGGCAAAGAAAAGGGAATGGAGAAGAAAACCTGTGGGGATGCCTAATGGTTATAGGATTCAACGTGTATAGTGCTTTGTGTAGGTTGATGATAAAAGTACAATCTATTGTGTAGGTGTAGTTTTGACAATAGAGTTTGGTATATTAGATAAGGTGTGTTTGACTATTAATTTGGAGAATTGATTTGGTATTTCTTGAGCTTTTCATACATAAAGTGGGTTTTGTGGATGTGTGAAAGACACACAAATATTAATTTATTTAAGGTTTTAATTATTAGGTTTGTGTGATTAAAGTGGTGGAGCTGAGTGTTTGGAGTTAGTGTTGGAATATTATTTTTTTTAAGCGTTTGAGGTAAGTAACCTTCTATCACTGTTGGTTCATTTTTATTCCTACTGAATCGATTAAAATTATAAATATTTATTTATAGCCTTCATGTTCTCTTAAAATAAAATATGGGTCAAGTATAAAATAACATCGAATATTATTATGAAAGTTATTTGAATATTTTGTGAAACTATTCTGAAAATTGTACCAAATGTTTATTCTAAAAATATCGAATATTTTATTTTAAAGTTGTGTATTGTTTGAATATTTGAACATCACTCTAGTTTGACTATGATTTGGACCCTAGCCAATGGGGGTTATTTATTGGCACAGAAACTAGTTTCTTTTGGGGCTTTACCACCGGCCTATGTGTAGTTTTGGGCCTTGTCATGGGCTAAGCGACCGTAGTCATTAAGACTTGGATTTTGTGAATCAAATCATTGAACTATCTGAATATCAAACCATCGATTTGAACAACGAATTACCTTGAATTATCACATTGGCTTTTCATTTAAAATGTATTGTACATTGTTTATTTTTAACTATGAAACCACCTTACAAATAATTGTTCATTTATTGAACTGTAGAAAAAATTATATTTATTGGTTATTGATTTATTTATTTATTTTTGTATACTTAATCCAGCTAGCAGTGATGGTTAGCTATTTACTGGGCTATCTAGCTTACTCTTATTTTTTTTTCAGATTCTGAAGAGTAGAGCTGTGCGGAATTTTTTACATGTGGGAGTGTCGAGAATAGGACCACGATTTAAGTACTTGGATTATTGTTTTGTTAGTGGATTAAATTAGTGGACTTGGTGGACATTTTCATATAAGAACTATTTATTTTTATGGATTTTGGCATTACGACAATTAAGGATTTAATTTGAGTATTTTACATTGTGGATTATGTGATTGGATTCTTAGCCTTTCATGCTCACTTATATGAGTGTGCGGCGTTGTCACGGAGCTTGGGGCATGACAATATAAGAGGGTAAGATTGTATATATCAGAGACTATTGTAGGTATATGATTTAAGTCACATATGATTTTGATTGGTTATAATCCGGAACTGTAAACTCCAATTCAAAACCAATCCGTAGAGAATGGATTCTCAATTTTCTAATCTAAAACTGAATCACAAATTCAAAAAATAATTTACACCTACCGGATTAGATTAGACCAATTCAGATTGCGAATTTTTGAATTCTTTACTCAATTCTAACAACCACCATCCAAGAAAAAGTGTGTACTATATTATAGATTTGGGAAATTAAAAAAATAAAATAAAATTTTAATTTTGTGAATTTAAGGCTGTTTTATAAATTGATTTCCTTTTTTTTTAGCGGTCTTATAATTTTTTAAGAAAAAAAAAATACAAAAAAATAAAGAAAAATATATATATATATATATATATTTTTGTGTAGAGCGTTGTTGCAATGAATGTTTTCCACAATTCGCATATAGGCTTTGTTTGGGAACATGATTTTTTAGTTATTTTTTGGTTTTTTTTACTAAAATATAATGTAAAAAAACTAGTATGTTTGTGATGACTTTTTTATTTTTTACAAAAATATGTTAAAAAAATAGAGAGAAAAGAGAATCTTTAACTTTTTTGTATAAATTATTAACTTTTTAATTCTTTTAATAACTTTTTAACTTTTTATCTAAAATCATCACTTGCCGAATGAAGTCATACGCTCCTAATAAGTTTTACAATACCGTTAAGTAGCGACGACGCAGCCAGCTAAGGATGAGAGGTCCACGTGCCCCATAAAGTTTTGACCATCGTACTGTTATACCTATACATAAAAATTATATATATTATTTATCTTTAATAAAATTATAATAATGTCTCTCCATTAATCATATAAAATTTCTTATATTGTTAAAATTTTAAAAAATGTTTTATTTTATTCTCTTGCTCATTCTTATACACTCGTAGTTGACAATTTAAGGCAAGAATTGAATTAATTGATAAGTTATTTTTCATTATAGAGTTTGTTAGTTGATTATTTATTTCCATTAGTTGAGTTGATAGTGTTGGACTAATTAATCATAAATTTGTTTGTCCTTATTGTTAGGTTAATAAAATTTAGTTGTTGATTATGAATTTATAAGTCATGTTGATATAAATCTCATGATAATTATAATATTATATCTCACTAATTGACAAAAAAATAAATAAAAACTTGTTATGAGAATAAAATATTTAATGTTGTGATATACATGTAGGCCCATAAAGCATCACATGTGGTCCAATCAAGAAATTAGAAGAGCACACTTGAATTACCAGTAGTCTCATGGTTCCCACTAACTTCCCATGTGTTCTTTCGAGCGTGGGACTGAGAACTGGACCACTTTGAGTCTACCAGCTACAAACCATGCTAAATTGTACTGGGCAAGTGTTCATGGCCAGTAAGTTTTGGTTATCATACTCATATATTATACTTCTATTCAATTGTTAAAAAAATGCACCAAGAAGATTCAATTTTTGATCATACGTTAAATTTCCAGCTCCACCATTGCCGTTAATAGAAATCATATGGTATATGGTACAAAGGTTTGTGGCTTAGTTATGATAGTTTTTGTTACGTTAATTTGTGATGAAATTACGCATTTTTATTATTAATATTACAAAATTTTATAATAAAATTATAATTTTTAGGGGCATTTACATACAAGTCCCATTTTATGAACTTATACTCCATTAAGTCCTAAATAAAATCATTTGCTCCTTCAAGTCCCATTAATTTTTAATACCCTAATTTATCCTTCCAAGACCCCCTCATAGCTGCCAAACATCGTTGCTGTCTTCATTCTCTCTCTCTTCACAATTGCAATTTGAAGTTCTACGCAATTACAATGAGTGAATCGTGTTTGGTGAGATCGCCTGAGAGATCATCATATCTGACTTCTCCACCACCTCCTCTTCATCATCTTTGTCGTGCTCGGCTTCAACAGCCGCTTATGGCGGCGGCGACGAAGGTGAAGAGATAGGAGGTGAACCGACATTAGCGGCCCTCAACAACCACCTCCATCGACGGAAGAGGTGGTAGCTTACAGTCGTGCCTACAGATATGATGCCTACAGATACAAACTCTGGAAAATCCAAGCCTCCCAACATTAACGGCCCTCAACAACCACCTCCATCGGCGGAAGAGGTGGATTTGGCGGCGGAGGAGGTGTTCATGGAGCCGGAAATCGAGTCGAAAACTTGTCGTCGATGTCATACCTCGAATCCAAACCAGTACAACCAAGATAGCCTCTGCTGAGCT